CCTGTTCTTCCCTTTACCAAGTGAAAGATTTTATTGTAGATTTTCTCCCTTTGATCATCAGTATACAGTGTGTGTGTGCACAGGTTAAATTGTCTTTTGGGTTCATAGGTCCTTAGATCATGAGAAGCCACATGTGCCAACAAAGGGGACTGTGCATCTACTGGAGATCTAGATGTGAGCTGCATATAGTAACTGCATGGGAATCTTGGATGTTTCCCTTGAGTGGGGATGTATGTATTCAGTGAGGAGCAGCATGAGTATTCAGTATTTACAGAGGTACTAGGTGTGGCAAAAACATAAATGATGTGTTTGCCCATCAAAAATACATGATCCCTTTCTATTGTGTAGAGTGGTTTGGGAGAGGCTTGTGTCTACAGGTTCTATATTTCCCAGCATTGTCTGCATTTGAATAGGGTCATGGGACTAGTTTTCACCAATGTTTAAGAAGCAGGTATACCTTATCCATTTTTCTTCTCCAATCTACTGGCTGAAAGTGAATGATCCCAAAGACCTAGACAGTGGAGCTACAAGGCAGAAGAAGCCTGAACCACCTCATAGGAAGCTGCTCGCTGAATGCCAGCCTTGGATTCCTGTGTGGGCAAAGAAAAGAGTTCTATTATGTTAAGCCATGAATTTCGAGGTTTATCTGAATTTTCTGCTACTCTTACTCAATGATTACAAAGTATTCATAGTTCTAAAAATGCCTTTGTGAGCACAGGAGAAAAACATTTGAAAGCCACTGGTCTATTCCAGTTCTTTCTCCTTTCTTTCTTTCTTTCTTTCTTTCTTTCTTTCTTTCTTTCTTTCTTTCTTTCTTTCTTTCTCTTTCTTTCTTTCTTTCTTTCTTTCTTTCTTTCTTTCTTTCTTTCTTTCTTTCTTTCTTTCCTTCTTTCTTCTTTCCTTCTTTTTCTTTCTTTCTTTCTATCATCTATCTATCTATCATCATCTATCTATCATAACTATCTATCTATCCATCTATCATCTTATCTATCTATCTATCTCATAACTATCTATCTATCCATCATCTTATCTATCTAATCTATCTTCTCTTTATATATATGTAATTTATGTACACACGCATATATATATATATTAATTTAATGGCAGATAAATAAAAATTTGCTTATATTTGTACATTTAAATTGTAGAAAATGGTGTCTGATTAGCATGCGACTACTTTAGGGCAACCTAACTCCAGGAATTTACCACTTTATTACAATTTAAACTCAGCAAGTTGAATCCAAAAATCTGATAGGACTTAATAAGACAGGAAACATGTTTTAGTATCAATGAATCCTTTTTAGCATGTATACAGTGATGGTGAGACAGTATTTCTTAGGTACAAATCTAAAGTCACAGCATAAGACAAATAAGACTAATGATCTTAACGATTAGTGATAGGAATTGGTAACAAATCCATTCATCTCTTTGGTTCAGCTCATGGACTCACAGTTTGTGAGTTCAAGCCCCACATCGGGCTTTGAGCTGACAGCACAAAGCCTAGAGCCTGCTTCAGATTCTGTGTCTCCTTCTCTCTATGGCCCTCCCCCTGCTCTCTCTCTCTCAAAAATAAGCATTAAAAAAAGTACATTTATCTAAAAAAAAAAAAACTGGGAGAAAAAAGATATTTTAATCGTTCAAAGTTAAACTTAAAAACTATTAAGGGGTGCCTTGGTGGCTCAGTCAGTTGAGTGTCTGATTCCTGATTTCAGCTCAGGTCATGGTCTCATGGTTCATGAGTTTGAGCCTTACATTTGGCTCAGTGCTGACAGTGTGGAGCCTGCTTGGATACTCTCTCTCCCTCTCTCTCCAACTCTCTCAAAAATAAATAAATAAACTTAAAAAAATAGCAGTAAAAGGGGCATCTAGTGGGTCAGTCGGTTCAGTGTCCAACTTCAGCTCAGGTCATGATCTCATGTTTTGTGAGTTTGAGCCCATCAGGCTCTGTGCTGACAGCTCAGAGCCTGGAGTCTGCTTCAGATTCTGTGTCTCCCTTTCTCTCTGTCCTTCCCCTGCTCACAATCTCTCTCTCTCAAAAATAAACATTAAAAATTTTAAAGCATTAAAAAACTATTAAAATTTAGTGTAACTGTACATTGATGATGAAATTTTAGTACAAAGAATTAGAAGTGGTGCTAAAACATTTGAATGGTGTTTAGTTAGAAATTCAAAAATAAAGTCTAGAGGTAATGATTACTGTCAATATTAAAAGAAGTAGTTACTGAACCTTTTTGAAACTTACTGTGCTTCACAGTAAGATCTTATGTTGTGTACAATTATATATGCATGAGAAAACTGCTGTATTTTCTATTCATTTTCTTCTCTTTCATCATCTGCTCTCCAATGTGATACTCAGTTGTAAAAACACGGTTCTACATATATTATAAGAACCATAATAGTCTTTGCAAATTTGTCCAAGAGATTAAGATATAACTAACCCTTGTTCACTCTCTTCCTCTGTAGTGACTATCTACAGCATTTGTTAGCTCGACATGTTCACCCACCTTCTGGTCATGTTAGCAAATTGGAAATTACTCCTCTCCTTGTGCTCATCTATAGGGTTCAGGTCAGCTTCCTGCCCAGCTCTGCTGTCCCACCATCACTCTTTTTCTACCACCTCTGGGGGGAGGCATGTCATCTGGTTCTGGTCAGGTAGAACGATCATCTCTCTGCCCACAGGGGCTGTCTCAGTACTCAGTACATAACCTAAGCAAGGCCAATGAGCTCTGCTGTCAAAAACAAGTTCTTTTGCCAGACTGTAAACTGGTAAAAATCAGGCTACAGATCTTAAAGCCATCGGATGGACAGAGCTGCCTAGGAGGGACACTAACAAGAGGAATGAGTTGTGCCTGAGTGGCTCAGTTGGTTAAGTGTCTGACTCTTGATTTCCACTCACGTCATGATCTCATAGTCATGAGATCGAGCCCTGTGTCATCAAGTTCTGTGCTTGGTGTACAGCCTGCTTAAGATTCTCTCTCTCCTTCTGCCTGGCTCCCTCCTTCTCTATTTCAATAAAGATAAAAAAGGGGGCATCTGGGTGTCTCAGTCGGTTGGGCATCTGACTTCGGTTCAGGTCATAATCTCACGGTTCATGGGTCCAAGCCCCGCATCAGGCTCTGTGCTGATTTGCTTGCTCAGAGCCTGGAGCCTGCTTCAGATTCTGTATCTTCCTCTCTCTCTGCCCCTCCCTCACTCGCACTCTGTCTCACTCTCTCTTAAAAACAAGTGAACATTAACAAAAACTTTTTTAAAGGGAAAAAATAAGAGGTAAGGACTGATCCCACCATTTGTGACCCTGGAGCCAGTTACCTCTTCCCATGCACTGAGCACTAGTAAATTTGCCTCTTGAAATTCAAATATAAAAAGGAAGCTATCCTTCAAATGATATTTAGTATGCAAAATGACTTGAATTTTATTAAAAATGTACACCTTCAGACCTCTTCAATATCCCAAACTTATGAAGATAGGAGAAAAAGACAGAAATCATCACATAATCACTTGTATTTTAAGTGGCACAAGTAGCAAATTCTTTTGATATGGGAAAATTAAGTTTGTTGGACATTTCAATGCCATTATCAAGTCATTCTTTTTTCAGTGTCTACATACTTTTAGTTTTGCCCTTCTGGGAGCCCTACCCTATTTATTAAGGAAAATGTATTGGGAAAAAAAATACATATTATTTACATTAGGATTTTACTGAAAAAAATATAATTAAAGAAGCTAAGGCTTCCCCTCCCCCAAACTGAATATTTTTTCCCAATCAGTATACAGAGATATTATATAACATTATAGATTTATTTACAGCTATTAATAGCAGATACATTTTAATGTAAAATAAACTTTTAAAACATGTAACTCATTTTTTTCAGTTCTACTCAGTATTTGATTTCAAATGTCTGAAGAGTTCATTGATTTGAGAAAAAAATTCCAATTCAAAGCATAAAGTATACTGAAGGCTGCCAGTACAGAAAGTTATTCATAAATGAAAAGTTTTAGCTATAGCATTGAACATTACAGTAGGAAAAATATGTTAAGATAAGTGACACTCCACATGCCAATATTATTCACTGACTGGTAACCACCACAACATATCAACAAGTTTGTGCATTATTACAACTTTTTTCTATCAGACATTCACTGATGTTTATTTGTTGTTGTTTTTCAACTACATTATATGAACCGCTAGGTGAGTTATTCATATTCAAATTACTCCTTAAAAATGAAGGCAATAGTTCTCGATGGTAGAATTGAAACAGAACAAGATAGGACAATTCTCCAGTGTCTCTGGAAAATACTCATCAATCTCAAATGGATGGAATTTGCTCCAAGCTGGGAGCTTTGAGCTTAACAGGCAGAGTGAATCATTCATACAATAGTCTATGAAAAAAATGATTGATTTGGAAATCTTGTTCTTTCACTATTATTAACATTAATTATTGCTTGCGAATAATGTTACACAAAGCAGCTGCACTGACTGACTTTTTCTTAAACTACCTGACTGGAAAAATAGCAAAACATCATAGCTATCTTTACCACTTGTTAATATGAATTTGAACACACGAAAACATTTACAGTTGAGGCTATGACAAAATTGGCCTCTTCTCCTCAACAACTATACATAGAACACTGAGAAACTTCTGGAGAGTAGGGGGAAAAAGTTATTTTGAAAAGTAGGCACTTTTGAAATTGGTACAAATAAACAAAGAAGTTATCTGAAAAATATTACATTTGTATTTTTTTCTTAATGAGGCTATCTTAAGTAAAATATTTAAGGAGCATTAACCGTCCTTTTTGCTGTAACTGTACAAGTTTTATTCCTGAGATTTCTGGAGAAAATTAAATTTGTTTTTTGTTTTTACATTTTTTATATAATTTTTTAAAGCTTATTTATTTTGAGGGGGGAGGGACTGAGAGGCGGGGGGAGAGAGAGAATTGAAACAGGCTGACATGGGACTCAAACTCACGAACTGTGAGATCATGACCTGAGTTGAAATCAAGAGTCAGCTGCTCAACTGCCTGGAGCCACCCAGGTGCCCTCAAAATTAAATTTCTTAAAATTAGCAAACAGGAAAGAAATGGCTTTCCTATATGGGAGGCTGAACTATGGATCAACATCTCAACCAGTTACTTTCTGTCATTTTCTCATACATCAGATTTTTCATTTGGGGTATATTCACACTATAATTTATTTCTTAACTGGCCCCCAAATATGCCACAACTTTAAAGAGCTGAAATGTTCAGCTGAAAGGTGGCATATAAGTTATTGTTCCTAAAAATTTGCCATTGTAGGTAGCGTCTCTCTTGAGAACATAAAAACAAAATGAGATTTTTACATCTGGTTTGACTTAAATAACAATTCAAGTATCTCCTTTGAAATGATATTCCGAAAAACATTAATATTTATGTACCACAAATTTAAATATATTTTCTGAAAGGTAGAATATTCCTTGAATATCCTTTGTTTTAATCATGACTTAGACTATAAAGATCAAAAGTTAGCTTTGCTTCACATCATATTTTTGATAGCTCCTGATTTTTTTTAATCCAAATACTTAACTAATCATTTGGAAATAAAATGAATAGCAAATGCATGAAGGAAAGCTTCAGACAAAAACATTTCCTTTAAAAAGCTATATTCAAATGAAGATATGGTCTAATAGAAGTCATTAGTTCTTATTTTCAGGTATGGATGATACAGATGTTCACTGAGTTTTTGCGTGAAATGGAGTTGTTTCATAGTCTTGAAAATGAATTCCCTTAGAAGTTGTGATCTTCATAATAGCTCCATTTAAAGCATCATCTTCAATGAGCGTTATTAATCCATTGGCAATAACCGATGGGCTAGAAATAAAGGAAACACTGTTTTTTTAAATTTCAATATGAGGCATAATTATCACTACATTTCGAATTGTGTTTGGAGAATCTACTACCTTTAACAAGTATCAGGGAAATGTGTATCGTGAAGCTATCGCTACCTCCGTATTTTATTCAATTTGATTATTAACTAAATTATATGATAAACTTAGTCATAGATTTCCATGCCTAGCCTGTCATTTTGACAGGAAGAACTTATGAATTTATCGTTTACATTGAGAAAATGATTATTTTCTCCTCTTGATCTTATAGGTCTCAGACTTCTCAGATAAAAATGGTATTAAAGTAGAATCGTGAAAAATTAGAGAGAACGTTTATTGAAACCAGAAAAAAAAATTTCTTTTGAGAGTTGCCGAACCAACACGTCAAAGCTGGCGTTAGTTTCTCAAATTTAAAAGGTTATTTCCTCCCTCTTTATTGCTTGAGACTAGATAGTACTTGCAGCATGATATAAAGGAAGCTGCTTTACTTACTCCAAAATTCCATAGAACTTCATCATATCCTTGATGTGATCTTTGTATTCTATATATTGTCCCATGTTTTCTTCTTTCTCAATGGATTCAAGGATGGGTGTGTTAACAAAGCCTGGACAAATGGCATTCAGTCTAACGCCGCTGTTCATGAGATTAGCTGCCATCTGTCAATTAGAAGGAGAAGGTTGCAGTTTTCGAGCTCTCTAAATGTATAACATGGGGCACGCTGATAATTAAAACCAGTTCAGTTCAAAGACTCAGGAGTGAAAAATGCTACTCAGATATCCTTCCAGCTACATGACAATGACAGTGTTAAGGTTGATGGGGAGCAGAAAGCAAAAGAATACATACCTAAAATGCTGAATGAATTCCTGAAAGCCTCAGCTAACTAATTCTTGAAAAATTAGTTTTACTGGAAACTCCTGAAAATACTTGATTATTTAAGCTGCTCTTATCTACTGCACTCTGCAGGAACCGAAATGTAAAAAGCTGACCCACAGAACTAGTATCTCAGGTTTGCTCTTGGAAGACAATGATTGTATAACAGGGAATATTCCCTTAAAAAAGTACTGTTGGTGGAAAGTTTGGGACTTTGATAGATTTTTAAAAAAATTTTTAATGTTTTATTTATTTCTGAGAGAGGGAGAGACAGTGTGAGCAGGGGAGGGTCAGAGAGAGAGAGAGACACAGAATCTGAAAAAGGCTCCAGGCTCTGAGCTAGCTGTTAGCACAGAGCCCGACGTGGGGCTTGAACCCATGAACCGGGAGATCATGACCTGAAGAGGCCAAGTTGGACACTTAACTGACTGAGCCACCCAGGCACCCCGTGACTTTGGTGGATTCTAAAGATGCTCTTGATAATATGTACTATCTGGAAGGCAATTTAAGTATTTTCAGACAAGCATTCTTTGGCTTAATTTTCCACCTATTGATTTTAAAGTATCTATAGAACGAAATGCAGTCAATTCTTTTTAGATTCTATTTGCTTACTTGTGACCCCCAAAATCAACAGTCATAGAGCTTTTGGGGTCATTTATGGACAAGCACAGAGCAGTGGGAAAATTGAGTTGCTATACACAAATGTTTCAGCTAAGATAAAAAATGATGATCTTTCCTTTTCAGCTCTTATAAACAAGTGTCCTTTTTTTGATATATTTAGTCCATGTTTTTCTCATTTTTGTGCCTTTTGTTGGTGACTTGGTTATTTAAAATGATTCCCAAGCATAGCAGTGAAGTGCTATTCAGTGTTTCTAACTGTAGGAAGTCTGGCACGTGCCTTCTCTAGAGAGAAACTACATGTGTTAAATAAGCTTCACGCAGGCAGGAGGCATAAATGCGGTTGGTCATGTTAATACAATACATATTGAACATAATACATATTAAATAAGATGTGTTTAGATACAAATATATTTAATCCAGGCTATGGATGGTTGATCAAAAATGCTGGGACCAGAGGCTCAAAGGGACGTAACCCTGTATTTCTCCTACGAGCAACAACAGTTCAGTATTCTTTAATTCAGTGTTTGCGAGTAAACTGACTGTACAGGTTTCCATTCTAGTCCATTCTTGTCATTGTAAAAAGGACGTTTCCGGTATTTCAGATTTACTTTGTTTTGTAATAGCTTTGTGTGTTCATTGAAAGTTGAATTACAGATTAGGTCTTGGCAAAGTAAATAAAAGTCTCCAATCAATTTGAATTAAGAGGATGAGAGCTGCTTGTCTTCCCTTTTGACTGAACATCTACTTTTTGCGCATCTATTTTCTCTGTCCCCATCTTTTCTATGTGTATCTCTGTCTGCCTCCTCTCTTTGTCTCACCTAGTCTGACCACTGCAGAGACTTCCCCAACTGTGTGACTCTTGTCCTAATTCTCTTCTACACCTGCCCTAATACTTTCTCTAAATTGTAGCCAGAATGGTCTTCTAAAAATGGAACCCGATCTTATCACTCCTCTGCATAAAAGACCCCCGATGGCTGCACTTAGAATAGATCTGAGCTCAGGACTGTGGCCCACAAGCTGCTTTTCAGCTGGCTCCTGCTTCCCACTTTTCCCTTCCTCCTCAGGTTCCATTCAAACTGGCTTTCTTCAGTTATTATAAAAAGGCAAGCAATCTCACTTCATGCCATCAATGCATGTGGTCAGTTAGGCCTAAAATATTCTTAGCTCTGCACACCTCTCCCCCTAGGCCCCCATGGAGGTGTTACCCTTGTCTACTCTCTCTGGTAAATGCCTGTTCCCCCTGCCAGTCCCCCCCACCCCCCGCCCCGCGTGCTCTTTCTGTCATATTTCCAGTGATAAGTCATATCAGGAGCACACTACATATTCTACTCAAGGAGGACTAAAGTTAATACTTTTTAAATTTGGAGCCAATTTTAAAAATAAAGAATATCTTCCCATTTCTCGCCCTTAGGATATTTTTTCAATAACACATCTGTGTTTAGGACCAACTTCATTTCAAAAGGATCTAGTCTTCATTTGCTTCTTGATGTGACCTGAAAACCATTTTTTTTATAATAGAGATTAAAGGATAGTTTATTTTTCCATCTTTAATCCAGATGTGTTGAATTCTGATTTTATGCCCCTCAGTGTTCTAGAACTCATGTTTCATATAAGCACAGAAAGAGAAAAGGAGATACTGCAGTTGTATCCTCACCGCTGCTGAGCGTGTGAATCCAATGATGCCATGCTTTGAAGCACAATAAACAGGCTGTTGTGCAACGGGCATGAGTCCTGAAACAAACAAAAAATTTCAGCAACTGAACCAAAAAATAAGCAGACAGAAACCAATAAATAGTTGCTATGCAAACGGATAAGCTGTGCCTGTTCCGTTTTAAGCTTATTCTAAAAAATACACTAAAGTAATTATTAGACAACTTTCCTTCCATGAGCTCTACTATGCTGTCCAGAATTATTGGTATGTGAGTGACAGCCTAGGAATGAAGCCAAGAGTGATATGTAAGCCCTTCTTTCTCCCTGACCTTCTGTCATGAGAAATCAGTGTTATCTGAACCACAAACAGGGGCACCTGGGTGGCTTAGCCAGTTAAGCGTCTGACTTCGGCTCACTCAGGTCATGATCTCGTGGCTCATGAGTTAGGGCCCCATGCCAGGCTCCGTGCTGACAGCTCAGAGCCTGAAGCCTGCTTCAGATTCTGTGTCTCCCTCTCTCTCTGCCCCTCCCCTGCTCACAATCTCTCTCTCTCTCATAAATCAATCACAAACAGAACCATCTTTATTTTATTTTATTTTTTTTATTTATTTCTAGGAGAGAGAGAGAGACAGCGTGAGCAGGGGAGGGTCAGAGAGAGAGGGAGTCACAGACTGAAACAGGCTCCAGGCTCTGAGCTGGCAGTCAGCACAGAGCCCAACGCGGGGCTCGAACCCACGAACGGCGAGATCATGACCCAAGCGAAAGTCGGACGCTTAACCGACTAAGCCACCCAGGCGCCCCAAACAGAACCATCTTTAAATCCAGTAAGTTACCATCAATTTTCAGATTTTTAAGGCTGGATTTTAAAAAGTATATATTATACATTTGTAATACTTCCAAATGGCTGAGGAAGTTCAAATTTCTTAAGCGAGATTTGGAGATTATTTGTCTTTGCTATAAATTAGTATGAATGACGCCTTGAAGTGTTTAAGAAAACTCAAAATGACTTCTTTTGATTTCAATCTGTAGTAGGTGCCTAGATCTTCTTGCCCATGATTTAGGAAAAGCAAATCAGAAAAAAAGGAAAGAAAACCACAACTAAAATGGATGGTTCTATTTTATTTCATTTCATAATTATGCACTCTACCAGAATTCAAGCAATTGTAGAATTGGCTTAATTTTCCACATATGCACAACAGTTACTATTTGTAATGCAGTTGAATGCATGATTAAATTCAAAGCCTGCAGAAATAGCAGTACTGTGGCATGCACAGCATCTTTTCTCCCTTACCTCTTGGCACAACCCCCCAAAAGAAACAAAACGCAAGGGAAAACCTTTTCCTGAATGAGCAAGTTCTATTTCTAGTTCCATTACTATCCAGTTTACTTCTCAGAATTGTCAATTCCCTAATCAATAGGGATACTTCAAACTAGAGCCATCCGTATATTTCAGGTTTTAACCCATTTCTTCCATTAAACTCATTTTAATGTTTTTAAAATTTGTGCTTTCTCTGAGTCAAGGAACAGTGATCCCTGATTACTATAATGTTATTAATATCAAATATCATGCTAATAATACTAAATTATTCTGCTGAGACGTGTTCATCTCCACCCAGTTAACTAGTCCCAGAGCACCACCAATCAGTTGAGCGTGTGGTGCCAAAGTTCAGCAATAAACGCAGACCTTAACCAGACCTTAACCACTCCCTGGGTGCCTGCCAGGTCTCAATTTATAAAGTATGTTTGCTCAAGAGCAGTTTAAATCCCTGAGGATGGTAGATCACACGGAGTGCATCCACCCAGTGATCTCAAAGTATTATAACATGTGGCTCTCTTCTTGGTTGTTTTTTTTTTTTTTTTTTTAGGTTCAGTAAAATGTGTAAGTTAATTAAGTTCATTGAGGTCAGCCAGCAAGAATTTATGATGGCTTCCCAGGGTACACAGGTGTATCAGGACTCTGGGATAAAGGGAACAAATGGGTGCAGCCAGGCACTGCTGCTTCTGGCTCTTCGGAGTTATTCATGGTTTCGCCCCTCCTTAAATGTTTAAGAGATAAAGGCAGCTGGTGGTAGGATGGTGTCCACCGGGCAGCAGGAAATGCAGAGTGAGCCTTAAGCAGAGATAAGCTGGCACAGCCACAGAGACAAAAAGCACAAGGACACTGTTCATAAACGTTGTCAAAGATGAACTTAGAATGGATTTTTGTTACTTCTGCGAAGGTACTGAACTTCTGAACCCAAGCTGGTTCAAAGTGTCACAGAAGTGAAATAAATCAAGTACTGTGTGGTTGGTTCCATTTAAAGAGGCAAGCACAAAACATATACTTCCCTTTAAAGGCACAACTGTAAATGCAACCAGAATGGGAGAAATTTGCTTGTGTTTTTAAAGCGCCACTTGGTTTTATGAATCTTATAACATTATAATGACATTTTCACTGCTAGCCTGCAAGATGTTGACTTGTGCATTGCTTTTGCTTTTTGATATTAGATCAAAGGCTGTATAAATCAACAGCAGACATTCAGAAATCGTGTTCTTTTTTCCTTTATTTTTTTCATAGCTTTATTGAGGCATAACTGACACACAATAAACTACATAGACTTCAAGTGTACAGTTCAGTAGGTTCTGACATATGTAAACACGCAGGAAACCACAACCACAATCAAGATACTGAACATATCCATCAATTAAAATTCTCCTCGTGCCCTTTCGTCATCTCTTCCTTCTGCTTCCTGTCCTCACTCCCTGCTCTAGGCAACTGCTGATCTGCTTTGTGTCATTACAGTCCGCTTTTTCTAGAAGTTTATATAAATGTAATCACATATTGTAAACTCTTTCTTCGTCTGACTTCTTTCACTCAGGATAATTATGAGCTTTATCCACACCATAGTGTAAATCAATAGCTCATTTCATTTCTTTTTCTTTTCTGAATAGTACTCCACTGTAAGAATAGACCCATCAATTGCATATATATTCACCTGTTGATAGATAGCTGGATTGTTTCCAGTTTGGGGGTATTACAAACTAAGAGCATCCTTTTTTCAGTTACTTAGGCATGCCCCAGTTAATTTAATTAAATAGAGTTTTTTATTTTTAAAAATCTTCCCAGCACATATAGATCTTAACTGTTACTTCTTATGTTTCAAAAAGGTAGAGTGGGTTAGAGATCTGCATCTGCATGCTTTTCCCCCAGTTTGCTATTTGACTGTTCAAGCAGAAATTTATTATCTATACCTCAGTTTGCTGCTGTGAAAAGAAGGCTGAAAAGGGGGGGATAAAGGCTTTTTAAAAAAGTTTTCATTATTCTTTTTGACAGTGATTTTATTCTGAAAGATTTCAGAAGTCCAACATTTCCTACTGGATCTCAAGACCCACTTTTCTTTTAGCAATAATGTTATTGCTACCATGGTTAGCTTCAGTCCTGGTTAACTGTACTTGTTACTTATCTCAGACCCCCAGCACCAACATATGTTATTTCTATGTGCTTCACATAAAAATGTGCTCTGAGGCTGGCAATCAGGGTCAGCACATAGAACTGTGCAGGGCGATTATGGTAGGCCTCTGGAAATACCATGAACATGGGAGTGTGTGTAAATTGTGCCCCACGATGCCAAATTCTATAGTTTATAACCTGCACAACTATACATGCCAGCCATGTCTGGTAGAGGAGGATGACCAAGCAAAAGAGACTGAGAAGAAGGAACCCAATGGAGGCAGGAAGAGAGCAAGCCAAGCACTGTGTCCGAGAAGTTAAAGATGGTATTCTTGGAAGCCCTACCCGGTCAGCATTATCAAGTGCGGAATCAAATGATGAGATGAGAATGTGACTCTGTATCACTTGTCTAAAAATCGCACCTTGCTTGGTCTCGCATTCTCCTCCAGCTACAATTCCATTTCTCTTGACAATGAAAAGTACTGAAAAGAGTCACTCTCCTTGCCATGCAGGTGCTGCACGACTCACTCTGCTCGGGCTTTCATTGCACCCCTCCGATCAAACAAAGCTCATGGAGGCTGCCTGTGACCAACCCTTTCCTACGCTATTTACCACTCACAAATGTCCTGTTCACCAAATGTATCAGGGGGTGGGTAGCACAGTGGTTTGCCCTCTGGGTGCCAGGCTGGCTGAGTTCAAATTTTGAATCCCCCATGATGAGCCATGTTACTCCTTTAAAGAAAGGAGTAAGTGCTGGTTACTGTGATGTTTTCCTTCTGAGAACTTAGAGCAGTAATAGTAGCCGCAGAGTCTTGAATGAGCTAATTGACATCAACCACTTTAAGCAGTGCCTGGCACATAATAAGCACCACTGTTGCTGTTGTTCTACATAAACATTTTTCCTTAAGATGAAACATCCTCAAATCTCGTTTCACAGACTTATTTATCCACATTATGTCTTTTTATGAAAATGTGCATTTTGAGCCACAATGACACAAATCTGGTACCGTGTCCTAATTTGGTTGGGCTTCTGAACCCTGGTGGACCATAGGCTGCTGCTAATCCTAATTCAAGAGGATTTATAGAAGTACATTCATTTCATATCTATGTGTTTAGCTCCTTTCAAGTACAAAGTATAGGGAAGCAGTAACTAAAATACACTCTACCAAAATGTGTTAAACTAATGGGAGACCCCTTGGTGCAGGGGGGAGTGGAAATTCGCTGGTTGAATGGCCAGACCACTGCCAGGCATCCAAGTTTAAGGGAAGTATTGCCAAGTGTTGTAACTACAAGCCCAGCTGCTGGAATCAATGTGGGTTTTTAACATCTTGCAAATTAATACCAATATGTACAGGGTATTCATGTTAAAGGATTTAAGAACAAAAAGAAAACAAAGGATTGTGGCAATGAGACAGCCATCTCTAAAGAAATGACATTTTGTTTAATGTTTCGAGAGAGAAATCTTTGTGCTTAAAAATGGGTTCCTTATACCTGGGCACTTGGGTGGCTCAGTCGGTTAAATGTCCAACTTGTGATTTCAGCTCAAGTCATGATCTCACGGTTGGCAAGTTCCAGCCCTACACTGGGCTCTGCACTCACAGCGTGGAGCCTGCTTGGGATTCTCTCTCTCCCTCTCTTTGCCCCTCCCACT